ACCCTTTAAACTGGGCAGACCACCCAGGGACCATTCAAAGGGGCACCCTGGATGTATGGTTGAGGGAAGGTTTGATTTTCCTTGCCCAATTGTTGTTTAGGGGGGGTGGGGTGATTTAATCACTGGTATTTCTCCACAGCTGAGACTTCAACCAAGAGAATCTGAATCACTAGGGTAGGACAGAGACCAGCTGAAAATAAGGCAGAGCCACTTAGCCCCATCACACCAAGCAGGTCCCCAGTCTCTCAGGCTGTAACATCATATGGGTCCTTGACAAACCTCAAGGGGAAAGCCAAACAGGGTAAAACAATCATGGGGCAGAATCAGCAGAAAAGCTTTGGTAATATGAATAATCAGAGTAGATCAAACCCCCCCCCCACCAAGAAAGGATGTGGCTGGTAGTATGAATAACCAGAGTAGGCCAACCCCCCCCAAGAAACGATGTGGCCGATGAAATTGAAGATCCCATATATAAACAGATAGCTAAGATGTCAGAAATTGAATTCAGAATTTGGATTGCAAATAAGATTAATAGAATAGAGGCAAAGATAGAAATAGAAATTCAAGGAGCATTCCAAAAATTCCCTCAAGAATTCAACAAATTCAAAGACAAAACCACCAAAGATTTTGAAACATTAAGGCAAGAGATTGCAGCCCTCAAAGATCTGAAAAATAGGGTAGAATGTCTTGGTAACAGAGTGCAAGAGGCAGAAGAAAGGATCTCAGGCATAGAAGACAAAGCTTCAAATATGTCCAAACAACCAAGGAGAATCATAAATGGAAAGCAAAAATGGATCATTCTCTCAGAGAGCTCTGGCATAATTCGAAGAAAACTAATATTCGCCTTATAGGAATCAATGAAGGCGACGAAGTTGCTTCACAAAACACAGAGGCTCTTCTGTATGAAATTATGAAAGAGAACTTTCCAGATATGTCAAGAGATCCTGAAATTCAGATTGCAGACAGCTTCAGAACCCCAGCACAACTCAACTCGAATAAGACATCCGCCAGACACATCATAATTAATTTCACTAAAGTTAATATGAAAGAGAAAATCCCAAAAGAAGCGAGAAGTAAGAAAACCATAACCTACAAGGGGAAGAATATTAGAATAACTGCAGATCTCTCTGCCAAAACCTTTCAAGCAAGAAGAGGGTGGTCATCGACAGTTAATCTCTTAAAACAAAATAACTTTCAGCCCAGGATCCTGTATCCAGCTAAACTAAGTTTCATTTATGATGGAGAAATTAAATACTTTAATGACATCCATGCGTTGAAGAAATTTGTCATAACTAAACCAGCTCTGCAGGATATTCTCAGACCTATTCTCCATAATAACCAGTGCAATCCTCCACCACAAAAGTAAACTAACTCAGAAACTATTGATCAAACTCCAACTTCTACAGTGGTGAAAGGATTGAAAACATCCACTGGACTTTTGAACAACTTGATACCTAAAATTTTATCAGGCTTATCAATAATTTCAATCAATGTGAATGGCTTAAATTGTCCTCTAAAGAGGTACAGATTGGCTGATTGGATACCTTAACTCAGACCAGACATTTGTTGTATACAAGAATCTCATCTTACCTTAAAATACAGACTCAAGGTGAAGAGATGGTCATCTATATTTCAGGCTAATGAAAAGCAGAAAAAACAGGTGTTGCAATTTTATTCACAGATACAATAGGTTTTAAACCAACAAAAGTAACCAAAGATAAAGACGGCCACTTTATATTTGTTAAGGGCAATACTCAATATGATGAGATCTCAATTATCAATATCTATGCACCCAACCCGAATGCACCTCAATTT